CATTACTTAATGTTGTATTCCTCAGGTAAATAACTTTCTATAAATAGGGCTATCAAAAGGATCACAATTCTAGTAGAGTTACTTGGGCTCACAGCTTTCAATACAGAAGCTTCATATAAGAAAATATAAAAACTGCTCTATCATTAAAAATAGGTGAGAAAGTTACAGAGAAATCTTAAATCATTTAAGAAAGCTGGATATGTCACTAAATATAAAACATTCTCTTGGCATTTAAGTTGGTGGGTTATTAAAAAATATGAAAAAAAAACTTCAATAAGTTTTAAACTATTATGTGCCTTCAGAGAAGAGGTTTAATTTCTAAGTTTTTAACATGTTCGTTGTGAATTTAAACTGTTCTTTTGCATACAACTCAAACAGATCGTGTAAACCTCGTCAAAGAATGACTCATTTTACATGACTGAATATGTCTATAATTAAATCGAAGTTTACTTGATGCTAGAAATTTACACTAGAAATAACAGGAAAATCTAAGAGATGAATTATTTTATTACAAACTCAAAATAAAAAATAAACAAGAAAGATTAACTTTTGTAAGAAGTTATACCTTTTAATCTAAATTGATTAGGGAATTACTAGATAGCACTGTACTCGCTAACTTTTATGTTCAATATAAGTTCTGCCATTTTGTATGGCAAAACACATCATCATATTGAACTACTGGGGGTATAAACTGCAATTTATGAAAAATAAATAATGTATCATGATATGTGAAATGGTAGTTAGAAATAGTTATCTTCAGTAGTTTCACTTTGGCCTATACTTGGTATTGTCAGTTTTTGTTTTTTTTTTAATGGTAGCCATTTGGGTAGGATACAGTGCTTCTTATTGTGGGGATTTTCCCCTTTTATCATTCTCTCAATGCATGCAAAGTTTTCTCAGTCATTTATCATGCTGCATGACCTCTTAATAGTTCAGTATTTTTTAAGCAAAAAGATACTCTCTAACATAACTACAGTCCAGTTATTAAATCCAGGAAATTTAACACTGATAGAATATTTTCATTTACTTTATGGTTCATATTCCAACTCTGTCATTTAACCTGGTAATATTCTTTATAGCACTTTCATCCTTCAGTGTAGGCTTCAATCCAAGACCACGTATTACATTTGTTATCACATCTGTTTAGTATTCTTTAATCTGTAACAGTTCTTTAGCCTCACTGTACTCTATAACACTGACCTTTTTGAAGCATACGTGCCAGTTTTTCCTGGAATGTTCCTCAATTTTGGTTTGTCTGATATTTATTCATGATTATATTCATGTTATCCATTCCTGGCTGAAACACCATGTAAGTGATACTGTGTTCTTCTCAGAATGTCATATCCTAAGGCACATGATATGCATCTGTCCTTATTATGATAATTTTGAAAATTTAGTTCAGGTATTATCCAGTTTCTCCAATGTGTAGTTAGTATTTTTTCCTTTTACAACTAATAAACAATTTTTTGAGAGACCTCATTGTGGATTTAATCTGTAGTTTCCTCAGCTGAGTTTAATTTCAATTACTGTACATTTCTAAACACTTTATTTGGGCGGGTCTTACAAATCTGCTAGGGTTTCATTCTTTTTTTAATAGTTTCTTGTTCCCTGCCAATATTTTGAGCTTCAATATTTGAAGAATATTTTGTTCTTTTCACCTTAGGTAGCTCTGTAATCCATGTTGATAATTCCAATATCAGGTCTTTGCAAGTCTCTGCTGTTATTTCTTCTAGGTCTCTTTCATGGTGCCTTGTTTCCTTGTGTATTTGAATGTCTGACTCTGACATGTTCATCTGTACTCTTTTGTGGGAATTCCCTGAAGCCTGTGCATTCCTCTAGTGAGGATTTACATTTACTTATGTCATGTGCCTAGAACACTGTCATCTTGAGATTACAATGAAATTCACTCTGGTGATGTGCATTTGGACTGCAAATCTGCAAAGAGCTAGTTTGCGGTTCTTATCCCTCAGGGATAGATTCTTCCCTTCCGACTCTTCTTGGCACTAAGGCCAACTTTGCTTACAGTTTTCTGGAAGTAATAAGCCTTTACTTCTGGTTCACCCTTACATGATGGTGCAACTCTTGGGCAGGGGGTGGGGAGGGGGTTTCAGCCTTATGAGAAGGTTTATCTAATTGTGAGATGCTACCACTTGGGCAGGCTCTAGACCTGTGGTGTCCAATATGATAGTCACTACTATATGTGGTTATTCAGTACTTGACACGTGGCTTGTATAACTGAGAAACTAAATTTTTAACTTTATTAATTTTAATTTAAAAACTGAAGCAGTGAAAACATTTTTTCATTAAACGTAACTTTACTACTTTGGAAGGAGTATATTTCACTTTAACCTTTGAAAATTTAGTGTCTAAATTAAGATTTGCTTTAAATGTAAAATATACACCAAGTTTTGAAGATTTAGTATGAAAAAACTATGTAAGGTATTTAATAATATTGTTACATATGATATTAAATTACATGTTGAAATGATAATATTTTAGATATATTAGGTTAAATAAAATGCTATTTAATGTCATGTTTCTTTTTCTTTTGATGTAGCTACTAGAAAATTTAAAATTACAAATGTGACTTATATTGTATTTCCATTGGACAGCACTGCTCTAGATTTTCTGTTCCTTCTGCCTTAAAAGGCAGAAAATTTAAAATTACAAATGTGACTTATATTGTATTTCCGCTGGACAGCACTGCTCTAGATTTTCTGTTCCTTCTGCCTTAAAAGGCTATCAAAACCGAAGTTTAAATCACCAAATTTGGTAAATGCCTTCAGGACAAAGCAGTTTTAGGGCTCTACTTAACTTCTTTGCTCTGGAGTTTTTTTCTTCACTCAGGCCAAAGGAGCACCAGAATCACCTGGAGTGCTTAGTAAAACACAGATTGCTAGGTCCCACCTGCAGAGTTTCAGATTTAACAGGCTTATGGTGGTGCCTGATAATTTACATTCCTAACAAGTCCCCCAGGTGATGCTGATGTTGCTGGTCCAAGATTCATACCAACTGAGAATCACTAACTTAGACTTTTGCCTTAATATCTTCTCAGTACTTTTGATACTTTTAAGAAGTTTGGTATTTTATTCAGCATTTTTTTTGGTGGGGGAGGTTGGGGTATTTTCACCAGGAAGACTATCAAAACTGCTCTTGTCAGTCACCTAATTAACCCAACCAAGGAGTCAATTCTCAGTGCTTATCTTCCTTGATTTATCCTGACAACGCTGAACTTTACCTGAGCTGCATGATTCTGAAAAACAGTGACAGTTAATGAAAACCATCCAACTTTGTGTGCTTAGTGGAAAGAACGACCCTTCCCCATATGACTTAAATAAGACTCATGAATGCCTCGTTTACCTATGACAAAGCCAGTCAGACACAGACCCTCTGAATTCCCATTTTTTGCTTCAAAAATGATTCGTTGAACTATTTGTTTCCATTGATCAATCAGAACAAAAGGCTTGTTAACATGATCAAACTTTTAACTTTCTCTCCATCCCCCAGCTTTCTAAACTCTGATCTAACCTCAGCCTGAGCCAGCATACAACCTCTCCTTAATGACCCTGCTCTGCTGACCTCAGGAAAAAACATTCCCTGAACATCCCACACACACACACCTGGTTCTTTCTACCACTGTTTACTCCTTCCTATAAAAGGCCTGCCTGACCTTTGAGATACTTGCAGATTTTCATGGTTGAAGAGTTCTCTATATTGCAATAGTCCCCCGTCCCTATTGTAATAATCTTTGAATACATTCTCTTATTACCTAGGTCCAAATGTTTAACAATCCTCAGCACTTGAAATAGTTGATCACTCTTCACTTGGTTTACAGGAAACTACACTCACCTAGTTTTCCTCACCGGTTGTTGCTTCTTAATTGTCCTTTATTGGTTCTTCTTGCTAAACTCTTAACACTCGACTGTCACAGAGCTCAGTCATTGGTCCTTATCTGGTCTTCATTTATACTCATTCTCTTGGTTATTTCTTCCAGTCTCCTAGTTTTACTTACCATTTATCCCTGACTAATCACTCTGATGACTAAAATGCATCTGAGCCAAGCCATGGTCTTTTCAGTAGCCTCATAGGCACGCAAAAACTGGATAGTGAAAAAGGAAAACAGAAGAACTGATGTGTTCAAACTGTGGTGTTGGCAAAGAATACTGAATATACCGTGGACTGCCAGAAGAACCTGTAAATCAGTCTTAGAAGAAATAGAACCAGAATGTTCCTTAGAAGTGAAGATGGCGAGACTTTGTCTCACTTACTTTGGACACATCAGTTAACTATATTTTGGTCCTGAATATACAGGTGATCTTACAACTCTTGATGAAAATCTTAATGTGGATATCCTACTGCCCCCTCAAATATGTCTAACCAAAACCTACTCTTAATCTTACGTTGTCTTAAAGGCATCATCTTCCTTTTCTTCCTTCTTGATGATTTGTCTGTTTTAGCTACAAAAGAGCTTAAAGTGGTAGCTAGAATTGTTAAGATGTCATCCTCACCCCCCTTCAAGATTCTCATTCCCTGGGTTATTCAATCAAACACTTATCTAGGTATGATGTAAAGGAACTTTGCAGATGGGATTAAGGCTACTAATCAGCTGACTTTACGATAAGGAGAGTATCCTGGGTTAACCAGGTGAGCTGGGTATAATCACATGGGCCCTTAAAAGCAGAAGGGGAGGCAAAAGAGTTAATCAGGCAGATGCTACAGAAGAAAAGGTAGGGACTAAGAGCAGGAGAGCATGAGAGCATGAGAGAGACTTGACCTGCCTTCACTGGCTTTGAAAGAGGAAGGGGGGGGGGGCATAAACCAACAAATGAGGGTAACCTGTAGAAGTTGACAATAATCCCACCCATTTGCAGTCAGTAAGGAAATGGGGAACTTCAGTACTACAACTGCATGGAACTGAATTACATCAACAACCTGAATAAGCCTGGAGACAGATTCTCTCCTACAGCCTCCAGATAGGAACACAACTGTGCTGAAATCTAATTTCAGTCTTGTGAGACTCTCAGCAGGGGTAAAAATCAAGTCATGCTTCTGGCCTACACAACTGTGAAGTAATCAATTTGTGCTATTTTAAAACTGCTAAACCTGTCAAAATCTGTTAAATAGCAACAGAAAATAATACACTTGACTAATTCCCTCCTTTTCTACTCCTATTGTCACAATCCTTTGTCAGAGTGGTTTAACTACTAAATAAGTAATCTGCAAAACAAATTCTAGAAGTTTTATTGAAGCACACAACACACGATTTATAAATTGAGGAAGCACCGAACTCAGTGAAAGCAAGCCTCACAAGTGAAATCGGCATTCCAAGGAATGGGGAAAGTATCAAAAAATTATACTCTCAAAAAAGGAACTAAATCATGGAGAGGGCGGTTACAGGAAGATCAATGAATACTGTAATAATCACAGCTTGACTGGATATATGTCACACAGTTATGGTAAATAAAAGTCATACATATCATAAGTAGCTTAAGTAAAGAAATCACATGCTAAATTCTGACTGGCTGATTACTTTGTAATAAACCACAAGTTGTGTTAAGCAATTCCTTGGAACAAATTATAATATCTGATAAACATGTTTTTCAGAGTAGAAGTAGATTCCTGACAATGGTTAAAAGACAAGATAGAGTCTTAATTTTATATCAAGTTACAGGACGAAGTCAGGGCCCTAGTGATAAATCTGCAGTTTTTCCACAAACTAAGTGCCTCAGATTTTATGTCCTTACCTTTATCGGTGATGCAGGTTAATATTACAAGAGTCTCCGACATTACCTGTCTTGAGTCTCTTGATTCACCAGTACTATGTATCTCATATTAAACAAGAATTTTCTATAGAATAAAGTCAAAACTCTTACAGTATTAAAGAGCCCCCACCATTTGATATTAACTTGTTCTATCCTTCACAGCATTCCCCGAATAGTCATGCTCCTGCCACACTGATTGTTACTACAACATGTCAAATGTATCTGTCTTGATGCCTTGTTAATGCAGGTTCTTTCTCTGCTTAGAATATTCTCCATCTTTTTTGTTCAGTTAGATTTAACTTATTCTTCTGGGCCCAGCTGAAATGTTATACCCGCCACCCCTAGACAGATAAATTATTATCCCCTTTGTCTTCCCACAGCATTTTTGTTTAAAATTTCATTATATTTTCCCATTTTTTCCTTGTGTTAAACAATGATCTATTTTCATATCCTGCTCCTCTGTTAGATTATATGCTGTTTGAAGGTGCAGACTGTATATGTTTCTTCTGACACTTTTCTTTCCCAAAATCTAACCCAATACTCACAATGTCTATTGTGTTTGTTTATACAGGCATATCGATCCTTCACCTTTCCATTTTGACTCAAATATTTATGAAGTTTTCAAATGTATGTTTGTTTTAACAGTCTTGTGTTTTCAGTAATTTCATATTCACACAAATTGTCTGTATAAATGTGTCTTAGATTAAGTAGAATTAAAGAATATAAAAATGGCAATGTAAAGATTCCTTTGCCATGATAGCATATAAAATTTAAAACTTCATTTAATTTGCTCAGTGGACTCTCTGAAAATAATACACTATGCATTACCTGTTAGGATAAATTAAGTAATATTGTCATTTTAAGAGAACTTTATAAACATAGTAAGAAAGACATGCTTCATAAAATTACTGATAAATCATTCTACTGTTTAGCAGATTATTTTTAACATAAAGTTTCTAAACTATTTTCAGATGTATGACTCTCTTTTGAATCCTAAACATTTACAAACACTTAAAACTAGGGTCTTAGTAAATTATATGTTTAAACAGGAAATAAACCATTTCACCCATACGTGAACAAATATCAAGGAAAAAATTCTTTAAAATGTACATAATATTGATAAGAGATCAACCTATATATTTTTAGAAACTGTTGCTCTAAAATCATCTTTCTAAGGAGATTATCTTTTCTTAGAAATAATTTTAACTAAATGATAATTTTTGTTTCTAAATCTAAAAATCATTCTCCAAAATTCTGTCACTTGCAACAGATACATGAAAAAGGTGTTATTATCAAGTGCCTTACGGGTTATTTACGTTAGACCATCATCTACTCTAGTCAAATGATCTCACCAAAATGTCACAAAGAATACGGTGTTATTGTCTTTTTCTCTGCATGCTGAGATTTCCTAGTGTGTTTAAATGGTACTGCCGTACTAGTCCATCAACATACATGCCATCCCATCCTCACTCTTGTATTTCTAAACCTATACCCTAATTTGCTTCTTCATCGTTTCGTCATTATTTTACTTAAAAACCTACTCAGACACTCCAAATTAAATTATCGTATTTCTACCACTGTGTTCAGGTATCCATGGGCAAATTTAAAGTTTACAGATGTGCTAAAGAATAAAAAAAAGGTTTTGAAGGATAAATCAAATCCATAAACCTAATGGGTATGTTTTTGTACTGCAAAGCAACATTTCAAAGCGTAAGTCAACAGAAATGTTTAAGAAAAATGTTCAGTAGTTCAAAGGGAGTCATTTTAAGCACTGCAAATTAGACTGAAAAAGAAAAATACTGAATGTGATTCATAAAAAAGTGATAGTCAAGGTGTTTTATTTGATTAAAGCTTACTAATCTATAATATACAAATTCTCCCAGTTCAGCAATATAGGGCCCATTAACAGTGCAACATACTTTTGAAATCCTGATTTGTTTTTGTTTTTCTGTTAAGGTTTCAATGCTAGTATAACAATTTGAGGATCAGAATCTTCAGGATCATCCCTACCTTAGTTAAAAAAAAAAAAAAAAATCAATTCAACGGTAATTTTTCATTCCATTTTCACCTAGCTAACAATGACAACTCAAAGCAATTCAACTGCTAACCCTACTTATGATGTGTATGTGTACATTTCAAAGTCAAAAAATCTGGGACTATAGTCATTACTACAGTAGAATTGGCAAACCAAGTGGTGTTTATACTAAACATTTTACTATTTATTCAGGCAAAAGTTATCCCCACCGTATTTGTTTCTCCATCTCATCTCTTGATTTCACTCCTTTCTCCTGGTTTTATAGTTCCTTCCCTTATTTATTTATGCATCCTGGACTCTGTGGTTGATCACTTTATTCTCTAAGCCTCAAAGTTCCCATTTATCCCTTGCCTTCCATCCTCAAACCCCCAATCCTACTTCAATCCTTCACTCATCTTCCCCAGACAACCAGCAACCTAAGCACTGATGAAAAATAATCATACCCAGTTGTGTAAAGTGCTTGGGATTTCTTAGTATACTAATAAACATGACAAGTGATAACTACCTCTAGCTACTTCCTAAGTAACTAATTTGTAGTGGTCCTTTCTCTAATGGAAATTTATTTCATCACTAAAATATTCTATTGAAGAGATTTACCAATTTCTACTTATTAAATAACAGTTCCTTTCTTACCATATATTAAAACAAATACATCAAATGGTTAACACAACAAATGCCAGACAATTCTTTCCTTAAAGAGTTATACATTCTAAGACAGCTAACAAAAGCTCCTTTACCTTCAGGGGCATCAGCATCACATCTCTTTGGCACAGAAATGGTTGAATTGCCTTTATGGTCATCATAAGTAGTATTGTTCTGGAAGATGACAATATAGTTAAAATGTAAATATTACTCTAGTATATTTTGATTAAAAAAGTAATCAATATATTTTGATAAAAAAGTAATCACATTATGAACTTTATACCCTGCAATTATCTTAAACTGGAGTCCTTCGGTGGTGTAAACTGTTAACATCTTAACGTGCTCAGCTGCTAAACTGAAAGGTTGGAGGTTCAAGTCCATCCAGAGGTTACCGCAGAAGGCCTAGTGATCTATTTCTGAAAAATCAGCCACTGAAAACCCTATGGGGCACAGTTCTACTTTGATACACGTGGGACAGTCATGAATCAGAATCAATTCAACAACACTGGTGGTATTTCTTAAACTACACTTATCTAATATTTCAAAAAGTAAATTTATTGTAAAATTTGAATTAGAAGAAAAGAATTACAATAAATTTTAACATCTAGGGCTATTTGCAACAATTATTTAGGGCCTGTGATAAACAATAGAGCTTATTCTCAGGACAAACAAATCCTATTTCTAATCCAAAGATAGCATCCAAAAAAGATTTAAACTACTTATATTTTTCCAGTGTGGAACAAGAAGAGTATCTTTTGTCCATGCAAAAAACATGACTCTCTCTCATCCATAGGAGAATGTTTAATAGTGAACACGTGCAGGGGATGAGGCAGGAAGGGAGTAAAAAAATGTAAGAAATATTCAGGTTATCTTCTCATAGTGTTTCTTAAACCACTATGATTTGTGCCATATCTTTGTTCTGCCTACATTATTCCTTACTATTTTCAAAAAATTAATTTTTTAACATTTAGCAATATCACAATGGTATTGATTGAGGATTTGATCTGTTACAGGAAGTACAGGATCAAGCACTAACATAAAAAGTAGTGATCTGGGCAGTCTACATTAATAATGCAAGGCTTAAATTAGGCCCTGAAACATGGATATGATTTGAATTGTCAGAAAGTAGGGCAAGAAGTATTTTAGAAAAAAGAAACAAACTACAGAAAGGTTGAATCAGAAATGATCAAAATATTTTAAATTGTCAGAAAATAAAAAACTAGCTGTCCAGTTACAACTAGAAACCTACAGGTGGCTTTTGAGATCAATAGTATAGTATAAAGAAATCAGTGGAACAAATAATGGAGATATTCATCATGTTAAAAGAAATCCCAGTTCCCACAAAAATGATAATTATAAAGCCTCTCCTGTGGGATTCACAGCACCAATGAGCAGACATACCGTGCTTATCAAAACTGTTTTGAGGTGGCATGTTAATCCTTAAAGCATTATTTTAGAAGTAGTATGAGTTTCCATAAAGTGCTGAGATAAAGCTCAGTAGCTTAGTAAAATGGGCCTATTTAAGGAACTATGATAATGAAATTCAGTATATTATTTTAAAAAGAACCAGCTGCTATCGAGTCAACTCTGACTCATAGTGACCCCATGTGTGTCTGAGAACTATGCTCCATAGGATTTTCAGTGGCTGCTATTCAGAAATAGACTGCCAGGCCTTCCGAGGTGCTTCTGGGTAGACGTGAACCTTCAACCTTTTGGTTAGCATCCAAGTGTGTTAACCATTTGCACGACCCAGGGACTCCAAAAAGAACTTGGTATGAAACAAATATGAAGATGCTCAAAAATTGGAATGAAAAACCATTTTTATGCCATCCCTCTCAAAATACAATTTTGTCTTAAATATCACTATCTTTAAAATATCAAAATAATCAAATTTTAAATCTTATACTTACCTCTATTAAGTAATTTTGGCTTCCATACATAACATACTGGGGAGCAAGACTATATATCATGTAGCTAGTGTGAAGGACAATAAGCAAAAGTATCATGCAGAGAAATAAGAGTGCTTGGGGCCTGGTTCTACCTCTTCTGATTTTATATAACTGAAAAGAGAAAAGACATTGACCGTCTATCAACATTATGCTCTATTTCTAAGGCATTAAGTCCCACCCTTATGCTAGGGGTAAGATCAACAAAGTTAATTCATTTCTTTTTTCCAAAATAAATACTAGAAGTTCTTAATCATTCCAAATAATTATAAGGATGATTAAAACCATGATTCTTTCCCTGCAAAGTCTTTAGGCTTAGTTTTATGTTTCTTTTAAAATCATGGCAAAACATCTATATCCAAAGGATCCTATAAATGATCCATTAAATACTGAAAACCTGGAGAATATATTATTAATCACGTGGTCTATCTCCAGACAAACCTAAACTTATTGCGAAACAGTGTCCATTAGAAGTTCATTAAGCTAAGAAGAACTGTGAGCCACCTCTGGTTTTATCTAAAGATTAGAAGAATGAGTTTAAACTATAATATCAGTAATACATTTATAGCTCTCTCTCTCTATATATATATATATACATATATATATATCACTGTACAAGAACAGATGTTACATATTTATAAATATTCTTTTCTATGAAATACTCATAATTTCCTCATAATCTGCTATAAAACTATTTTATGATAATTTGACACCTTGACTATAGATATTTTCACAATATATAAGGAATCCAGGTGACTTTCTTTGTTTCAATGGCAAAAACACTCAATTTAGCAACTATGACATTACCTCTTTGTTTTACTACTAGATTGTAATAAAGTATAATGTAACAGAACTCCAATTATGGATGGGATGATAAAATGCTCACCTAAAATCTACAGGTCCCAGATTTCCTCACAGCTAGTAATGGCCATGTGATAAAATGTTAAACATTGAGAGGAGATGAGAAGTATTCTGGGATTTCTGGGAAAATCTTGCTCTATTGATATAGGTGTTACACCTTCCTCCTATTCATCTTTTTCCTCGACTAGAACATGGACAGAGGATAAATGGATCTATAGCAGCCATTTTGCAATCATGAGGGAGAGGCCAAGAGAATTACAGACACACTGGACCTGACATTTTTGAGCTACTGAAGGAATGCTAGATTTTTTTCTCCCATTAGCTCAAGCCACTATTTCATTGGGTTTTCTTTTGTTCACAGCTGGAAGTAGTCTCTACCTGATAAGCTTCATTTTAAAACTCTTAATTTATCTCAACATAGGTATAAAGAAGAAAATATCACTTTCTCAAATCATACAGTACTCTGTCTTAGTTATCTAGTGCTGCTATAACAGAAATACAACAAGTGGATGGCTTTAACAAACAGAAATTTATCTTCTCACAGTTTAGGAGGCTAGAAGTCTGAATTCAGAGCGCTGGCTCTATGGGAAGGCTTTTTTTCTCTGACAGCTCTGGAGGAAGGTCCTTGTCACTTTAGCTTCTGCTTCCTGGTTCCCTAGAGATCTCCATGTATCTTGGCATCTATCTTACCCCATCTCTCCTCTGCTTGCTTGTTTAATCTCTTTTATATCTCAAAAGAAATTGACTCAAGATACACACTACACTAATCCTGCCTCATTACCATAACAAAGACAACATATTCCCAAATGGGATTATAAGCACAGGCATAGAGGTTAGAATTTACAACACATACTTTGGGGGGACATAATTCAGTCCATAAAACACTCCTTAACTCCTAGTAGGGAAGGCCATCTTTTGAGCTTTAGTGTATCTATTTGTGCTTCAATGTGTCTCCATGTAGTCACACTAATGAAAATAATTACTGTATTATATACCACAGTTTCTTGACCTCTGTACTACTGACATTTTGGGCCAGATAAGTCTTTGCTGTAGATGGCTGCCCTGGGCACTACAGGATGTTTAGCAGTATCCTTGGTCTCTACTCCCTAGATGCCAGTAGCATCCCTCAGCTGTACCAACTTTTTATGTCTCCAGACATAGCCAAATATTCCCTAGGGGGCAAAGTCTCCCCTGGTTAAGAACCAATGCTCTCTGCAAAAAGTACTTTTACGTTAATATGAAGTGAAAAAGCTAGTAATTCTATGACTTGTGATATCTAGATATAACCTCTATACTATAAATTTAAGATAATTTGTAATGATGGACATTATGCACAAAATTATGAGAAAAAAAGTAAAATACTGTAATATACTCACTCTAATCCAAAAGAACCATATGCCAATATTTCGAATTCCTGCCATTGAAGTAAAAATAAAGTACATAATAATAACTGTTATAAGAATATAATCAAGAGGAAAAACCTGAAAAAAAAGATGAAGTTAAATTTAATACACCAACTTTAAGAGCTCTAAAATCATATAAAATTAACTGAAAATTTCATTATTGATGTTTGGTAAATGTTTAAAATATTGAACCTGATTTATATTAGGCTAACATGATCATACCCCACCTCCCCATCCCCCCAAAAAAAGACTCAAAAAGAAAAAAAAAAAGTTTACCGAATTATTTAGTACCGTTTTCTTCAGAAATCTTATAACAAATTAAATTTTCAATTACATTTATATATGGAATAAAGATTTCATTAAAGATGAAAAACAAAAATAGTTTAGAAAACGCCACCTAAAGTTTTATAATGATTCCCAAATCATGTGTAACATAAGAGTTCAGCAATATATCAATATAATAATCTTTAAATCAACATCAGTGTGAAAATTACACACAAGTAAAAAGTCAAATTAGGAAAGGGCAAAAGCATATTCTGCAAAGTATTAATTGATTTGTCAGCAAAATGATTTTATGTGGAATAGATGTCAGAGTGTTTGCTATTGTATGAAATGACTGACTTTTTACTTACTGTTTGTAGTACAGGCAAAAGCATATTCAATGGATTACTCAGGTTAGTTCCAAAAATTATGAAACCAGAATCTATTCCAGCTGAATGAAGAGCTTTGTCCAAACTACTATATAAAGAATAAATTTATATATGTAACGCTAGCACATTTTCAGTTAAATTAGAAAGAATACCATCATAACTTAAAGATGCAAATTCACCTGAGTCAAACTAAAACCAGGGATAATAAAAATTAAACCTCACTTAAATATCTTACAGATACTGTTCAATAGATACAGAATAAAATACTATTTACTCAATCTATATAGTCATTTTTTAAGTTACTGCTGAGAATGCTTCAAGGAAAATAGCTACTTAAGATGAATAGGCTATCCTAATGGAATTTCACTGGGAATGTGTATCTCAGGATTTGTATAAATGCTTTAGAAAATGTGTCTATTGTACTTACTTTGACAGGAATAGAGAAATTACAAACAGCAATGCAACTAAGATGAAAAATATTCCCCAAATGATCTAAAAGCAAAAATATATTCATTAAAATAAAGCTCTGAAGTTGATATTAAAAAGCACAAAACCATTATGCTCAATATGAGTTGCTAGCATAGGACAATGATTAACTAAAATGATCCAAGATATATTTTAATTTAGATATAATCCCAGGCATTTGTCACTTCAATTTTCATTTTAAGACTAATTGATTGGGAACATGTACACAACAGAGACAATGCATTTGAAAAGCCTTCATTAATAAGTAAACAAATAAGATTCTTTGCTAGACCAAATAAGGTTTATAATCAGTTACACTCAACTATAAACTTCAAAGCTAACTGAAAAGTATAATAAGACCAACATGCACAAAAAAACACAACCAAGAAACTAATCAGATTATATTATCCTGTTAAACATAGGGAACACGGAACATTTCACATAGAAGTAATGATACACATAGTGGTTAAATTATATAATAGTCCAGAAAAGTTCATATAATCGATAATATTCCTGAAGTACAGTATTAACAACTGAAGCAACCAGCATGCAAAACAATGTTTCTGTGGAAAAATGTGTTAAGCACTGTAATTGGTGGAACATATTTTCTTCTACTGTATTGCCTTCACATTAGGGATGGTAGAAAAAAGAAAAAAAAATTATTGGAACTGGATCTCTAAGGAATAAAGTTTCAAAATAAAAAAGGAGTGAAATCTCTGTTAGCAATAAACCAGGCTTTTATTCCTTGACATCATCTTCCCCAAGTTCATTGGGAACTGGGCTGGAGAGTCAGCAAGGTAAGGGCAAAAAAAGGAGAATCCCACTAAGCACAGTTAAATGTTTTCAGCTTCTTTGATCGGAAATATTAAGATGTTCCCAGATAACAAAAAATCAGTGAATTTGTTGCATACAAACCTGTACTACAAGAAATATTGAGTCCTTCAGGACAAAAGGACACTGGACAGTAATTCAAATCCACATGAAGAAATAAAGAGCACTGGTAAAGATAAATATATAGGTAAAAGAAAGTATAAATGAGTTTTGTTTTTAACTTTTTTTCTCCTATTTGATTTAAACGACAACTGCATAAAGAACTAATTATAAATCTGTGTTGATGGGCACACAATGAAAAAGATGTAATTTGTATGACAATAACATCACCAAGGAAGGAGGAGGAAATTGCTACTTAGGAGCAAAGTTTTTGTATACTATGGGAATTATACTATTGAACTAGATAGTCTAAGTTAAAATGTTACTTGTCTACAGGGTAACTACTAAGAAAATAACTAAAAAACATATAGTAAAAGAAATGACAGAGAATTAAAATTGCATAATAGAAAACATTTAATACAAAAAAAGTAGTAGTAGAGGAATACAAGAACAAAAGATGTAAGACATAGAAAAATGGAAGATGTAAATCTTACCTTCTCAGTAATTACAGTAAATATAAATGGATTAAACACTCTAATTAAAAGGCAGAAACTGGAAACTGGAAAAATGGACTAAAAAAAATGCACATTCGCAATCCAACTATATGTTGTCTCTAAGAGCCACATGTTAGATTCAAAGAAACAAATCAACTTGAAAGTAAAAAATAAAGAAAGAAAAGACAGACCAGGCAAACAGTAACCAAAAGAGACTTTAAGACAAAAATTATTACTAAAGACAAAGGACATTTTATAAATATAAAAGGGTCAAGCAATCAAGAAGCCATAACCATTATAACTGTGTTTGTTTGCAACTGATAGGAGAGCCTCCAAATTCATGAAGCAAGAACTGACAAAATTGAAGGGAGAAATGGACGGTTCAAGAGTAATAGTTGGAGACTTCAGTGTTCCACTCTGAATAACAGAACAACTAGACAGAAGATCAACAAGGAAATAGAAGACTTAACACTATAAATCAGCTAGTCCTAACAGACATCTTAATAACACTCTATCCAACAACAGCACAATACGTATTCTTTTCAAGGGTATATAAAACATTCTCTAAGATATACCATATTTTAGGCCATAAAACAAGTCTCAATAAATTCTGAAGGATTAAAATAATGCAGAGTATATTCTCTGACCACAATGGAATGAAATTAGAAATCAACAGCAGAAGGAAATTTGGGAAATTAAAAAACGTGAGGAATTTGAACAACACATTCCTAAAATAACCAATGGGTCAAAGAATAAAAAGAAAATTAGAAAATACTTTAAAATGAACAAAAATGAAAAACAACATACCAAAAGTTATGGGATGCAATGAAAGCAGTGCTTAGAGGAAAACTTATGCCTATAAACACCCTATATTAAAGAAAGAAAAAAAAAGTTGCCATTGAATTGATTCCAACACATGGCGACCCTATTGTGTCAGAATAGAACCATGCTCTACATGGTTTTCAATGACTGCTTTTTCAGAAGTAGATCACCAGGGCTTTCTTCCAAGATGCCTCTGGGTGGACTCGAAGCTCCAACCTTTTGATTAGCAGCCAAGGAAATATCTCAAATCATTAACCTAATCTTCAAACTTAAGGAACTAGAAAAATAAAAGGAAACGAAAACCAAAGTGACCAAAAGATAGGAAGTAATAAAGCTTAGACTAGAAATATAAAGAAAATCAACAAATCTATAATTTGGTTCTTCAAGAAGATCAACAAAACTGATAAACCTTTAGGTAGAATGATCAAGAAAAAAGAGAGAAGGCTCAAATTATTAAAATTTGAAATGAAAAGGGGATTTTATTACCAATCTTAGAGACATAAAAAAGATTATAATATGAAGAACAGTTGTACAATATGTATGAACCATTAAAACATTATGCTAAGTAAGCTAGACACAAAATACCACATATTGAATGATTCCAATTATATGCACAACATTGTAAATATATTAAAAATCAATGAATTGTACACTTTAAAAGGATGACTTTTGCGGTATGTGAAATATATCTCAATGAAAAAAAAAAGCTGTATAGGGTCCCCAATCACTTTTCTACAATTCTGGTATTTAAAACATCCTAGAAATCAAACTTTTCCCATTAATTCATTTGTTAATAAAAGTTCACTTAAACTAATACGGAACTTTTTAAGTCTTTAACCTACTTTCTGTGAATATTTGTATATTCGCTGCAGAATTATTAATGTGCTTGAACAAGGGATGCTGCTCTGGACCCTCTAGAGGGTGTTGTTTAATATACAATGTATAACATACATATGGAATAATAAGGCTAGCTTGAATATAACAGGGGATGCAAGAGAGATAGGAAATGTGAGAAGCTGGGGCACAGTCCTTAATACAGGAAAAGGTTCATTACCAAGTGAAGGTAGAAGCTGAAGACTAGTAGGCAAGATAAAGAAAAGTACACCTTTAAAAAAGAAATAACTAGCATTTAAAATTAAAAACAAAATATGACTAAAAATAGTAATAATATAAAGAATAAGTCTTCCTTTTAACCCTTCTATATCCAGTTCTACTCTTCAGTGGCGATTACCATTAGTGGTTTGTTAAGAATCCTTCCAGAAATAGTGCATGTGTGTGTGTGTGCATGCACATCCAAGACATTAACTGAAAGAATATTTACATACACAATATTTGCAACCTGAACATCAGTTTCAATTAAAATAAAGCACATCCTGAACATTTTAAATTATTTAAGATATATTTCTTTTTATATAGATACATGGAGCTTTGATTCATTTGAATGACTACATAGCACAATACTTCCTTGTATGGATGTAACAATTCATTAAATCAGTCTCCTACTGATGAACACTGGTTATTTTCATAATTTGGTTATTATAAACAATGCTGCAACAAACAAAAAATGATTATTTTAAATGACGAGACTTTATTTTTTAGAATAGTTTTAGGTTTACAGAAAAACTAAGTTGATGTTACAGAAGTTCTTATATACCTTTTTTCCCTGTAGTTTCTCTTATTACGAACAGCTTGCATTATTATGGTACATTTGTTACAATTAACGAATGAATACTGATACATTATTATTAACTAAAATCCATAGTTTACATTCAGGTTCACGCTTTTGTATAATCCTGTGGATTTTGACAAATTCATAATGACATGTATCTACCATTACAGTACCATACAGTATAGTTTCACTGGCCAAAAATCTCTGCATGCCACCTACCATATTTTTAGGCAAATAATGCACACCTACTATGTTTGTTTTCCAACTGTGCCCTCCCCTCGAGGTATTTTTGTAAGTATGCTATGCTAATTTTTTTTATAGCAACATGAAAAAAAAACTGGCATAGCGGCGCTTACAAAAATATCTTGCTTTGGAAGAAACTGCCAAACTAATTCCAATGTGGCTGAACCATTTTGCATTCCCACTAGCAAATAAATGAGAATTCCTGTTGCTCTGTATCTTTGTCAGCATTTGGTATCTTCAGTGTTTTGGACTTTAGCCATTCTAATAGGTAGTGTATATTGATATCTCATTGTTCTTTTAATTTGCAATTCCCTACTGACATACGTTGCTTCCAGGGGCATTGATTGTTGATCCAAATAAAATGAAATCACTGACAACTTCAATTTCTTCTCCATTTGTCATGACGTTGTTTATCAGTCCAATTGTGAGGATTTCTGTTTTCTTCACCTTCAGGTGTAATCCATACTAAAGGCTGTAGTCTTTGCCCTTCATCAGTTAAGTGCTTCAAGTCGTTTTCATTTTTGGCAAGCAAGTTTATGTCATCTGTATACTGCAGGTTGTTAGTCTTTCTCCAATCCTGATGGCACATTCTTCTTCATACAGTCGAGCTTCTTGGATTATTTGTTCCTACAGACTGAATAAGTAAGGTGAAAGGATGCAATTCAGCTGCATGCCTTTTCTAATTTTGAACGCCTTGTTGCGTTCAAACAACTGCCTCTTGATCCATGTCCAGGTTCCGTGTGAGCACAATTAGGTATTCTCACCAAATTCACCCTCTGATTTTCAACTGCATCATTTCTATTTCTGATACCAGTCTAATTATGTTGTCTTTGTAAGCCAGTAGATGTTTTTACTTGTAAATTTTGAGG